TGTCTCTAATATCCAGGGAAGGACCAACTTTTCTACAACACTGCTTACATGTATATGATTGCGCAGATTTGGAATATCTGGATTCTGTCACTTCCTCTTACAACCCTATCCATTGTCCTGTTAGCCAGCCTATTAAAGGTATTTTATGATTGAAGTTAGGTATAAAACTACTGTTGATTATTTGTGCTCCTGCATTGTCAGGACCTGTTGTGAAAATATGTGCTCTAGTGTACCAAAATGTAAAAATACTTTGATTTATCCCATTGTAGTCAAATAGAGGTCATTTTGGGATTATATTTAAAAGATGACACCCTCTAGAAACTAAATTCTAATACTGGTTCAGCTGTGGTTTTGGGTGGTATATAAGAATAGTCCCTATTTCAGAAAGATTGAGATTGCCTTCTATATGCTGGCTGTCTTTATTAATACATAAGAGAGACTGATTATTTATTTTTAAAGATTAATTGAATATTGGTGTGGGGAATACTTGAAACAGTAACTTTTAAAGAAAAGTACAGTTTAATTTTTTTTTACAAAATTAATATGAAAAGGTATCCGAATCTGTTCTTAAAAAACAATCTTGTCAAAAATTTGTTATGCAGTGGCTAGAATTTAATATTTTAGTAGAGATCAGTATGTCCACAAGAGGTCACTCTTAGCATCCTATGAAATCTTCAGTAATTAAAAGTAGCGTGTAGATGAACGTTGTGAATTACTAACCAAGTGCTGAACATCAGAAAAGAGACACGGAGAATGAAATTAGTCAGGTCCTCCTCATTTACTCCAGTTTACAAGTGGCTCTAAGGTTGTTAATTTAAAAAACCCAACTATGGTACTATCCATTTCAGTTGAAATGCGATTTTTAAATGTGAAGATCTTTTATATATTAAGGCTCTTCTAATGTTATCAGTAGAATGCCATTTTTATAAATAGCCCCAATTCTGAATGTATTTATTTCTAACTCATCTAGTTGTGCTTAAATATTGCAATAATCTATTAGAACAGGGGTTCTCAACCTTTTTCTTTCTGAGGCCCCCCCTAACATGCTTAAAAACTCCACCGCCCACCTGTGCCACAACAACTGTTTTTCTGCATATCCAGTAGATTAAAAGCCAGGGCCAGCATTAGGGCATAGCAAGCAGGGCAATTGCCCGGGGTACCACACCACAGGGGCTCACATGAAGCTAAGTTGCTCAGCTTCAGCCCCAGGCCCCAGCAAGTCTACTAGCCCTGTTCTCTGGTTTATTTTGGCAGACCCCCTGAAACCTGCTCACAGCCCCCCAGGGTGGCCCCGGACCTATGGTTGAGAACCACTGTACTAGAAGCTTATGAATAGTTGGGATGTATTGTGTGTGCATAGCACTTGCCAACAAGATACTAACACACCTAAACTTTGACTTGCCTGCATTTGTCTGATGTGCAATATTTGTTTCAAACTTAAATATTTTAGTTATTTTTAAAATCTCCTTTTCTTGAAGTCAGCGGTCTATATAACTTTAGCATTTAATATTAAGCTGGTGTTTAGCTAATGAGGTGGGTTTCTTAACTACATGTAGCTTTTCTAGTTTACTTCCTAATTAAAACATAACCTGTTCTTTCCATCTTCTTGCAATATGACACGCCCCAATGTCCCCCTAGACAGCAGCCTTTCTTTTGGGAACGCAATCTAAGGCGGTTTTCACTACCCCACAATATGTCTTTGTTCTTTCTTGTAGTGCTGAAAAAGAGATCAGGCAACAGGCCTATCTTTTCTTCATATTAGGGGGACATCAGGGCTTGATGTATTGCAAAGTCTGCTTGTAGCACTAGGCTTTAAACAGCTAGTTGCTTGGGCTGTGCTCAAGGAGAGTTCTCTGATTTACAGTGCTTTGTAGTAAACCCTTAAACATGTATCTTTATAATGCAAATATGAGTAGACCATGTTAAATCATAAACTTAATATATTATAACTGAATTATATTAAATTAAATATATTATATTATATTCTGTTTGGGGTGTCTGAGTGGGGAGTAGGTTGGGTAGTGAGAAGTAATAACTGATCTGTATCTTTTCCAGATCAAAATGTGTTTTCTGACATGGACTCTTTACACTGGGGAAGTGATGAATACTCTTCTCCATCCATATAAAAGCAGTAGTGGATTATTAATTCTGCTATGTGCCCCAAATATGGCTAAACATTCCTGTTCTCATTAAATATATTTGAATAGTGACCTTTTGTAAAGAAGGAGTTCAGTGCCTGAAAACTAAAGTTAGTAAAAAAAAAAAAAAAAAAAAAAATACCAAACGTCTGAAGAATGATTTTTGGGTGTCTTATGCTACTGTGGCTGTACGCCCCATTGCTTAACAGAAGAGCAGCATTGTTGCTACTACCCACATCAATATTTTGTGATATTTGAAAATGTTGTTTTGGTGTATTGTAACTTTTTTCTTAAAATATAAAGACAATTATTTCTACAGCAGGCACATGCAATTTCTTTTCCTCTTGTTTCTGAAAAGTGTATTTCAAAAACATGTTTGTGTCTTTCTTACAACTTAGGGTTACTTCAATCGCAGATAGACTGAATGTTGAGTTTGCTCTGATTCACAAGGAAAGAAAGAAAGCTAATGAAGTGGACAGAATGGTCTTGGTTGGTGATGTGAAAGATAGGATAGCTATTCTTGTCGATGACATGGCTGACACATGTGGCACAGTATGTCATGCAGCAGACAAGTAAGTATTGTTCCAAATTGACCCAGTACCCCACTGTACAGTCACCAATCTGTTGCAAGTTGGCCAAATTGCTTGGTCCCTCCCCCCGCTGCTTCCATTTCAGCTGGGTCTAGTGTCTAGTTTGTTTTTTTTTTCTTTCTAGGTCTGTAGGGCACAGTCCTAGCCTCAGACCCCATGTCTGACTTCTTCCTTGGGACCTGGAGTGCCATCGCCCTTGAAATGAGTGTCTGAGACCTACCAAGCTCCCTAGTTGCTTATACATGCTCCCTTAGAGCTCCACCTATGCTGTGGTTTGAGTTTCCAGTTTGACCCCTTCAGGGACAACGTAGCAGAAAAGCAAGGAACATAGGCTTAGCAAAGAAACTTCTTAACCAGAGTGACTTTACATTTAAAGTATATGAGAATTATAGAACTTTGAAAATAGAAGTTCTGGAATACACTCTGCCCTAGTCTGATCTGACCACTTCCGGGAATCTAAAGTCTGTCAGCATTTCAGATTGGGCAGAGTCCTTCTGGCAAGTCACATTGGTGAAGATCAAACCTCCCATGCCCCCCCCCCCCCCCCCCCCCCCCCCGACAGCAACCTTACTCTTAAATAGAGCCTCATGGTGCTATCTGCTCCCGCCCCATGAGTTGTTCTTGCCCCTTCTTGTGGGCCCCTGTATAGAGAAACTGTTATTCCGTGGTGGTAGGCCAGTACATGGGAGGAGTCAGTGGCCCTAGGTTGCTTTGTCCTGGCTTTTAATGCTCTTCAATGAGGTGTCAAACACTCTCCCTGAGCAGAGCAGCAGCCTGGAATGCAGTAAAATAGTGTATTCTTGGGCATGTCGAGGCTTGTGCAGTCACAATACCCAATACTTCCATGCATAGCATAAGTCAGCTCACATGCGTAAAGTTACTCGTGCTTAAACATTTGCAGGCTTGGGACCTCAGGCTGTACATTCAGCAGAGCAGGGCAGCTTTTTTTTCCTGTGTTTATAGTACACCTAGCAGGACAGACCCCTCTTGGGGGGACTTTGCTATTACTATTACTATTACTATTACTATTACTATAAATATAAATATAAATATAAATATATGAATGATGGGGTCTAAATTAGCTGTTACCACTCAAGAAAGAGATCTTCGAGTCATTGTGGATAGCTCTCTGAAAATATCCACTCAATGTGCAGAAGCAGTCAAAAAGGCTAACCGAATGTTGGGAATCTTTAAGAAAGAGATAGATAATCAGACACAAAAAATCATATTGCCTCCATATAAATCAGTGGTTCTCAAACTTTTTTGCATTGGTGACCCCTTTCACACAGTAAACCTCTGAGCGTGCCCCTCCCCCCATAAATAAAAAATACACCTGTATAACGCTGTCCTCGGGAGCCAAAAAATCTTACCGCGTTATAGGTGAAACTGTTATATTGAGCTTGCTTTGATCCACCAGAGCGCACAGACATGCCCCTCCTGCCCCCCAGCGTTGCTTTACCGTGTTATATCCAAATTCATGTTATATCAGGTCGCGTTATATCGGGGTAGAGGTGTAATTTTTTATATTTAACACTGTTATAGAGAAGCAGGGTTTTGAGGGTGGAGGCTGATGGCTCGTGACCTCCCACGTAATAATCTCACGACCTCCTGAGGGGTAACGACCCCCAGTTTGAGAACCCCGATATAAATCCATGATATACCCACATCTTGAATATCGTGTACATATCTGGTCACCCAATCTCAAAAAAGATATATTGGAATTGGAAAAGGGCAAGAAAAATGATTAGGGGTATGGAACGGCTTCTGTATGAGGAGAGATTAATAAGACTGGGACTTTTCAGCTTAGAAAAGAGACAACTAAAAGAGGATACGATAGAGGTCTATAAAATCAAGACTTGTATGGAGAAAGTAAATAAGGAAGTGTTATTTACTCCCTCTCATAACCCAAGAACTAGGAGTCATCAAATGAAATTAATAGACAGCAGGTTTAAAACACACACAAGGAAGTATTTCTTCACACAATGCACAGTCAACCTGTGGAACTCTTTGCCAGAGGATGTTGTGAAGGCCAAGACTATAACTGGGTTCAAAAAAGAACTAGCTAAGTTGATGGAGGATAGGTCTATCAATGGCTGTTAGCCAGGATGGGCAGTGATGCAAAAGCATCCTCTGTTTGCCAGATGCTAGGAATGGGCGACAGAGTGATTACCTGTTCTGTTCATTCCCTCTGAAGCATTGACCGCTGCTCGAAGACAGACTAGATGAACCATTGGTCTGACCCAGTATGGCCGTTCTTATGTTCTTATAATACAAATAATAAATGATAGTGTGGTGTGAAAAATACTTAAAAGAATTCTCAAATCAAAATAGGAAAAATAATTTGGTTTTGTTTTAACTGTTAGACATCCTGCTTCATCTAATGCAACAATTCTGGGAAAAGATCTCTGTTCTAGTTTAGAGTTACAGCTGAAAGAGGTGCTCTCCTTATATACATAGCCACCATTTTCAATATGGTATGTAATGAAAAGGTTTATTCTGCATTTTCTAGCTCACTTTGGATACTCGGTGATACAAACAGCTAAAAACAAAGCTAATTAACTTAAATTTCCACCCCTTATGAAAGGGGTCAGTACTGACTGAACAAATGGTTCTTATCTTGACTAAGCAGATGGAAAGGGTTTTGTGTGGCCGAACCAGGTTTTCAGCTAGCTTTTTGTTTTTAATTTGTTTAACTCTATTGTCAGTATTTTTAAATAGAACTGTATTGTCTGTCTTGCCTTCTCTAGAAAGAATGTAATGAATCAAGTCTGAACTCCTGTAACAAAGCAGCCTTTGGCGGGATACTACTGAGAGTATCAATTCAGGACAAATTGTTTAGAGCAGGGCAGTCACAGCCCGAGGCTGGGGTCCTTCACTACTAAGGCACACCAAACCAGCGGGACTTTGGTTTTACCCCACTGGCTAACGAGAAGTCGTACAAGTAATTCCTTCAGACACTCCAGTTCCCCAGTATCACCACCAGCACCACTCCTTATGGGGATGAATGGTTATGAAAACCAATACCTCAGGAGGAAAAAAGGGTTCTCCTGATCCCAGAGGACGAAGCCCCAGGCCCAGGTCAATATAGAAGTCAGACCTTACCCACAAATCATGCTGTTGCCAATGCTTTAGAATCTAAAATCTAAGGGTTTATTCATAAAAAGAAAGAAATATAGATGAGTTAAAATTGGTTAAATGGAATCAAATACACACAACAATTGCAACATTCTTAGTTCAGGTTGTTTCAGGTTTGATGGGATTACTGCTGATTTAAACCAGTTAAGTCTCTGGAGTACCAACATCCCAGCTTGGATGCGTCGTTCAGTCCTTTATTCAGAGCTTCAGTTTCAAGCACAGTTGTTCCTCCAGAGGTCAGAAACAGGAATGAAGACCAAATGGTGGGGTTTCCAGAGCCTTTTATATCCTCTGCCATGTGGAAGGAAACCCCTTAGTTCTTACTATGGAAAATCACAGCAGCAAGATGGAGTTTGGAGTCACATGGGCAAGTCACATGTTCATGCATGACTCAGTTCGCAGGTGGCAGCCATTGCTCACATGAACATTCCCAGGAAGGCTCCTCAGATGTGGATTGGAGTCTCCCAAGGTCCATTGTCAGTTACTCAGAATAGTCCTATCAAGAAACACTTAAGTGCCAATTCTCAAGAAGCTGACCAAATGCTTCACTGATGCTACTTAGAATCAAACACATTGAGATACAAGTACATAGCCAATATTTATAACTTCAAATACACACACACGATACACACATAGACAGCATAGTCATACCCAGCAAATTACAACCTTTTTCATAGACACCTTACTCGACCTCTTTGTACAAGATTTGGTGCAACTATAGGACCTTGGTTGCAACAATGATCTATATGGTCACAGTTCATGTCAATAATGTCACAACTGCATAAGGAGCAATTGGGAGGGGCCAGGCCAGTGGACTGCACCTCAGTATGTATTAGACAAATACCTGTCAAAGATGGTCCAGGTAATACTTAGTCCTGCCATAAGTGCAGGGGACTGGATTAGATGGCCTCTCAAGGTCCCTTACAATCCCATGATTACTAATTAATTGACTGAAGCAAGAATCACTTAGCAAGATTATGGCTACTAGTCTCAGATGTGTTATTTGTCTCTCACAGTGTAGAGGAGTCAGAGCCCTCTTTCCTCTTACTATCTCCCACCCATCAAACTTACAAAAATACCATCTGCAATTCCAAAAACTTGAATCAGGTAGCTAAATGGTTCTGTCTGATCCAGTTCTTCTTTGAGTAGCATCCCTAGGGTGTTCCACTCTGGTGCACTAGTGCCCCCTGCGCCTTTGTTCAGAAACTTCTAGCAGTGTCTGTTTGGCCTGTGCATGCTGTTAGTCAGTCTTGTGCCCTGTGCTGTTGTGTTATAGCATTGCATGGGTGAACCACCCTCAGTTCCTTCTCAACCGCCTCAGCCTGAGACAGGGGTCTGGCAGTTGTCCCGCTGAGACTTCCTCAACTTTAGCCTCTATTCTTAATAGTTAGTATGAGTTTCATTAGTTAGTAAGTAGTAATAGTATAGCTTCTTCTTATAAATGTTTGGCTGGCTTCAAATGTTTGTCATGCCTGGAGGAGATCCTGGTTGGTGTCAGGCACTCCCACTGCATCGTTGCCTCGGGGAATCGCATGTTGCCCAGAAGTGCAAGTTTTGTCTGGCACTAAAGTCAAGAGCCAGAAAAAAACAGAAGGCTTCATCGCCTCATGATGGAGAGCTCTCTATGCCTGGCTTCTGACACAGTCCAAGGCACCTCCCGTTTCTGAGCAAGTCTGCTGCCTCCATGAGGCCCAAACCTCCAGGGCTCCCAAGAGGAAGACACAAGACTCCTGTGAAAGGAATGTTCCCCTAGCACAATAGGTAGAGAATCTCTAAAAGCCAAGGTCATCCGTATCTTCAGCTACTTTGGTGCCACTGGCTCTCCAATCATGTACCAGTGAGGTTACTGGTTCCTCTGTTACCCAGGGCATGGCTAGACTGAAAGATGGGAAAGCTTCGGTCCTGGAGAGATCATTGGTGCCATTAATGGATCGAGGCGCCAAGAAGAGCTTTCTCAGTACCGAAGAAGCGTGGTGGAGTTCTGACTGTGCTTCCCTCTGAGCACCCTGAGACTTAGGGTACTGTCAGCGCCCTCGGCCACGATCACCTTGGTGCAGACTGCAGGCTCTGTACCAGTAACACTCTTGGTACCACAGGAGTTCTGGTTTCCCCAGCACCTGGCTGTATCTGAGATGTCCGATTCTCTGCTCCTCAGTGTCAATGTGCTGTTGACACAGAGGACATGGAGATCACCCAAAGTTCACTTGGTACTGATGGTTTCACCTCAGATCTCTCCTGATGCTCCACCATTCCAGACTGAGCTTGAGGAAGAGGATTTTGGTGAAGACCTTGCCTTGGAGTCTCAAGTGTCAATTCAGGATTCTCTCTTCACTTCTATAGAGGCCCCTTTCCAGAAGCCTCTGGTAAAGCTGCAACTACTCGTGGCCCACAATTGCCACCAATACCTGGCTGGTATGAGCACCCCTGGATGCCTCCTCCTATGCCTTATGCACCTCCTCCTTGGCCATATTGGGACCCGGGGGAGGCCTATTACCCATTCACTTGCCTGTCTTCCATCCTAAACTGCATCTAGATAACCAGGAGACACTGCTTTATCCCTTTATGGATGCTAAAAACTGTTGTATGTCTTGTTTCCTGTTTCCTCTCCTGTAGAGAGATGAGATGGGGCCTAATTGTCAAAAGTTCAATAGAGTGAAGAGAACCGTAATGCATTAACAGGAGGAAGATCCTGACCTGCACAAATAGATGGCACTGCTAGCTGAGTGAGGAGTTCAGTAAAGCAATACTTTTATCCTGTGACTCTTTTTTTTCCATCCCCAAATCTGAAACTTGGAAAGGATTATGTCCTTTCTTCATTGTTTCCAAACATAATTGAGTCACAGGGGACAATAAAGATGTAGCCCGTATCCCAAGTAATTGCCACAGATGTTTGAAAATGTCCATTTCTAAATAGTTTATACATGCAGTTCAAGTAAGTTGTATCTCCAGCAATCTACTTGGTTTGAACTAAAAAAAAAAAGGTATTGGAATTCAGATTGTAGACTAACCTTGGTTAAAGTGTAACTATTTTAGATCATCACAATAGCTACTGACACTCATTGACTTAGTTCACAATTATTCACCAGCAAGTGTAGTGTAGGGAGCTCACTGGGATGTACTTTTGGTCAGCCTTTCCTAATATCCATACTGTTGGAGTTCAACTGCACCTGTGTTTTCCCCTCAGTGGTCCAGCAAGGGCTCCCATTCTAGGGTTCTGGCTCCCAGCCATCACCTCTTGGGTGGAGACCCACGTCTCTCCCTCCTTCCTGACCATGGAATTTCCAAGCTGAGAGTCAGTTTACCACTAGATTATTTATTCCAATGTTCTTTTTTTGGTCTGCTGGTCTCCAGTATCCAGTTTGAACCATTGAAGAGACCATGAATGAGTAATCAACCAGACAATGGATCTCTTCCCCAGGGTTAAGCTTCAAAGGGCTGGTGACTGGAGGAATTATAGTAGCATTCCCCATCCTCCTAAAGAAGTTGCATATAATCTCATAACACATTAAAAAATTACATTTTTAATACACTGGATGTCAAAAGTGTTAAACTTAAGGTTTATCCGAGGGTATTGCGTTATTTGTCATGCATACAAGCTAGCAGATACTCAAAACTACTACATGATTTTACAGGGGTTATTACTTTTTTGTAGTCTATTGAAGGAATCAATATTGTAAACTGGATCTTAAACCAAGAGATTATCTGGTTTTGCTATTTCCGAAGTAACACTAGAATTATGTGCTCAAACATACATTGCAAACTTTTCTGTTTTTCCCCATGTTTTTTAGGTTAGTGTCTGCTGGAGCCACTAAAGTTTATGCTATTCTGACTCATGGGATCTTCTCTGGCCCTGCTATTTCTCGAATCAATAATGCTGCATTTGAGGCTGTTGTAGTAACTAACACAATCCCACAGGATGAGAAAATGAAAAATTGTCCCAAGATTCAGGTACTGTGTTGTTTGTTTGGTGTAGCTTTTCATCTGCTTGATAAAATGCAAATCTAGAATTCAGTTCTTGATGCTAGGATCCCATGCCACTGACATAAAATATACTGTTCACAAATTCACTGGACAGTTGCCTTGTTTGTAGAACTTATTCCTAAATGACATTGAAGAATTTGACTGTTCCTTTAAAATACCATTGTGAAATCTAGTCAGTTTTAAAAAGACTTAATATATGGCAGCTTCTCCTGAATAACTGTTGATTTCGTGGGGTGGGGGTGGTTTAACTGGTGTGTCAAAGTAAGAAGTTCCCCTTTTTTTCTTCTGACAATGTACATCATGTTATGTTTACATATGAGAAATTAATATAATTATTATATTGAAGTCTTTGATTTGTTCCTTGTATTGAGGATATAGTTTTAAAATAACTTTTTTATGAAATACCAGACAGCAGAAGTTACATCGTACCAAAAAAGTTTGAATGCATCTCAGGACAACCTCACAAAAAGCCTAGTGTTCCCTTGGGAGTTTCTTCTGGGGAAAACAAAATTTTTTTGTGATGGTGTTGTTTTTTGGGGTTTGTTTAAAGCTACTTCAGTTTGAGAGCACCAAAAGGCACATTAAGTTCTGATATAATACAGTAGTCAAATTGAATAAACTAAAGCCAATTTGGTATTAACAGAAACAAGACTTGTGGTTTCAGAGTAGCAGCCGTGTTAGTCTGTATCCGCAAAAAGAACAGGAGTACTTGTGGCACCTTAGAGACTAACAAATTTATTAGAGCATAAGCTTTCGTGGGCTACAGCCCACTTCTTCGGATGCATATAGAGTGAAACATATATTGAGGAGATATATATACACACATACAGAGAGCATGAACAGGTGGGAGTTGTCTTACCAACTCTGAGAGGCCAATTAAGTAAGAGAAAAAAACTTTTGAAGTGATAATCAAGATAGCTCAGTACAGACAATTTGATAAGAAGTGTGAGAATACTTACAAGGGGAGAGAGATTCAATGTTTGTAATGGCTCAGCCATTCCCAGTCCTTATTCAATCCTGAGTTGATTGTGTCTAGTTTGCATATCAATTCCAGCTCAGCAGTCTCTCGTTGGAGTCTGTTTTTGAAGTTTTTCTGTTGTAAGATAGCCACTGCAGGTCTGTCATTGAATGGCCAGACAGGTTAAAGTGTTCTCCCACTGGTTTTTGAGTATTATGATTCCTGATGTCAGATTTGTGTCCATTAATTCTTTTGCGTAGAGACTGTCCGGTTTGGCCAATGTACATGGCAGAGGGGCATTGCTGACACATGATGGCATATATCACATTGGTAGATGTGCAGGTGAACGAGCCCCTGATGGTATGGCTGATGTGATTAGGCCCTATGATGATGTCACTTGAATAGATATGTGGACAGAGTTGGCATCGGGCTTTGTTACAAGGATAGGTTCCTGGGTCAGTGTTTTTGTTCAGTGATGTGTGGTTGCTGGTGAGTATTTGCTTTAGGTTGGGGGGTTGTCTGTAAGCGAGAACAGGTCTGTCTCCCAAGATCTGTGAGAGTAAAGATCATCTTTCAGGATAGGTTGTAGATCTCTGATGATGCGCTGGAGAGACTTGTGGTAAAGATCTGTAGTTCTATAAACTTACTTCAAGGAGATATTGCCATCTAGTGGATAAAATTGTTAGGAAACTTGGATTGTATTCCTTGCTGTGTAGTTTTGGATTAATCTCTTAGTGCTCAGTTTATCAATTTTTAAAATAGATATAGTAAGCAGTCCTCACAGGTGAGGTTTATCTAGTTAATGTTTGTAAAGCACTTTGAGTTCCTTAGAAGAAAGATGCTGTAAATGCTAATAGTCACTAGTGTTAGTGGTATAATAAATTGTATTTTCTTGATTGCTTTTAGGTTATTGACATTTCCATGATTCTGGCTGAGGCGATCCGAAGAACACACAATGGCGAATCTGTGTCCTACCTGTTCAGCCATGTTCCGCTATAACTGCAAGAGATTAGTGTTTTCCTGTTGGTTGTGTCCACCAGCACTGTCAACCTTTTTAAATAATGCGACTCAACAATGAGATGACTCTCTTGGTAAAAAGCTTCAGCTCTTGCATACTTAAAGATGTTTTCGTTTTCTAATTAATCTTTGTTCATTGTAAATGGGTAATACAGCTCCATTTTGCAAAATCTCTTATGAATACACTTAAGGATTTTGAAGGGGAGGCTTCAATACTTACCTGTGACTATTCCTACAGGTAACTTTTTGATTCTGTATTTGCCTATAGCAAGAGGGTCAATACCATTTCAAAACTTTTTATATTTGTGGGGCTGCCAAAGGTAGCCCAATTTTAAAATATTTCATATTTAGTTTATATTTAATAATAAGTTGGATGGGCAATGAGGTAGTTCTCCTGCTGTGTAATATTGAACCTTGTCTAGGCTGTTAACTAAACATTGGAATAAGCGATTAAATGTGTATTCCCTTAACAGTTAAATATTTTTTTACTTGGCAGAAATTCTGTGGTAGCTTGATGCCCACCTACTTCATATACCTCATGATTTAAAAATTGCTGGGCAGATTCACTTTTTGTGGGGTCAGCATAACTGTAGATTAGAGATTAGTTGCTTGTGTTCTCTTCCTACTAAACTGCTGCCTCAAATGTCTAATCTCTAAAGCTGGGACCACAGCCACCACTTCTCTGCATATGGTAGTTAATAGAATTTGTACTTTCAAAAGATTATGCTTCATTTAGAACTAAATTTGTCAATTATAGGCATCTTGTATCTATACATTAGTCTCTCAAGTAACTTACTAAAGTTTGTTGAACTTTATTTACATCTTCAGTTTTAACCATGAGTCTGTCACTTTGTAGATATTTTAAACAACATTTGAGACTTCCATAACAAAATTAAAGTGAACTATTAACACAGTATTCAGTGGGCTACATTTTGGAGCATATGAAATTCCGAAGTTCAAACAGTGATTGTGTATGTGTGTAAAATGGGTTCTCTTTTTTTTTTTTTCCCCCTCTGGAAAGTTCATTGCACTATATCATACTGTTCTGCTCTATGTTGCTCAGCTGCAGTTTTCCTGTTCATAGTTCAGTATTTGACATGTCAACCAAGCATGTTAATACATCTGTTAACATGTAAATTCTAATGGTCACTAGTATTAGTGATATAGTAAAATATTTCTTAAAGCTTTCCAACCTCCTTACAGACAGTGGAGCTTGACCATTCTGTTAGGTGAGATCTTTATTGTTGTGCAGCCAGCTGAGTGGTCTGGTTGCTCAACAGTCGCAGGTACTCAGTAACAAAGGCGCAAAAACCATTGTGAAAATAACAGTTTGCAGTTGAAATGTTGAGACTCTTATCCTTAAGTACTGGTGGTAAATTCCTTTAGTAATTTTAAGGGTTTGTCTAAATCAAAATCCTTATTCTTGAAGATTACAATTCCAAGTTCTGAAGGGACTAAAAGCATGGAGAGCACTCAGACACAGCACACTAAAGGTGTTGAGGCTTCAGTTGAGCTAAGATAAAATTCACACACATAGATCATGAGGATATCCAGGTTTCCACCTGATGTAGTTAATTACAATTTCATTTTCCATATCTTAGAAATGAGTCTCGTTTTATTGTGGGGATCCCGCCAAAAAAGCCTGATTTCTGCCAATTTTACTGTATTATGGTATGGTTATAACTTTAAATGTGCTTATTTTTCTGTGGTATCTTAGACAGCCTAATGTTCTATTCCAGTGTCTACCTAATATGATTCTAAAACTGCTTTAGTTTGGTATGCCAGCTCTTTTCAGGGATTTAAAAAAAATCCACTTGTACTGTTTTTAATCAGTAAGGAGAGGAATAGTGGTGGTGAGCATATTCATGTCAATAATCCAAAGAAAATGCAATTCAGGTGTCTGTCTACTGAAAACTTCTAGCCCTGGTTTAATTTTCAAATCTTGTAACGTAACGTGACAGGACGAATCTGTTGCCTACCTGCTGCAGAAAAGGGTTTATATAGAATTATTTAACCTTTTGTAGTCTTAATTTTAGAGATGTCTAGCTTTATCACATTGCAGTTAAGTCTACCCCAAAACTGTGGCTGATTAGCCATGATCATACCAAACTTTCTTTTGACTTGCCTGTTCTTTTGCTAGTATATTTAGTACCATAGACAATCTGTTGTCTTGCTCTGCAGATCAGGGCTCTGTTACAAATGAAATGTTGAACTGTTTTGCCACTACTATGCTCAAGTATTCTTAATAAATCTTAAAACTACTTGTGTTTATAGGTTGTTGTTTTCTTTTATTCTTTTGTTGCATTGGTTTATGGAGACCACTTATTACAAGTATTGAGTTGGGGATGGAGATGGGGTGGGAAGTATAGCCAGTGGTATTCTTCCAAGCCCTGCTTACAAACTGTGCCCAGCCATCCTGGACACCAAACAAGCTGCCCCTCCATTTGTGCAGATCTTCATTATAGGTTCATCCTTCTCCCTCTTCAAATGCTCTGACAAGCACTGAAATAGTTACAGTAATGTTTAAATTATCATTACTAGGCATCTAATTAAACCTATATGAATAGGGGCAGTTTTTGCTTCTCCGGTTATGCATTTTAAAGTTTTTCAGCAAAAATGGTTCACTTGTTTCTGACATTGAGGTTAGCTTGGGGGGGGGTGGGAAATAATAGTTTTACTAACTAACATTTTCTTACTGCTTTTGAATGGCTTTAGTGACCTGGGGATTTGGAGCAATGACTTGAAATAATTTAGGAGGATGATCATGAGGGTCAGAGGAGGTGAAGTGCCTTTTGATGACCCTGTGAATATCCAGCTGGTCTTGCTGAAGTTATAAGCCACAGGAAGTGTCTTTATTATGTGTTCAGTAGATTTTGTTATAAGCTTGCTCCTGAATTTTCTGATCATTTCATGTGAATTGTGCATTCTTCCTGACCCCAAGAGACAGTCCTATCATTTTGAGGCAGCCATATAGACCAAATGAACCCTTCCTCCCATCAAAATACTGTTTGGCCTAAAGAAAGAAATAACTGGGTTGCAAGCTAGTAAATCCAGAGTTCAGTTCTAGCTGCTTCTGATTGAAATACATGAAATGAATAGCACCAACTTTATTATTGAGCAATTCTAACTCTACCAAATCAGTGTGTGTGCAACATGCCCAGACATTTGATGGCATCAGATGGATAGCTGGTAGCCCACCATCGAAATAAGTCAGTGGGCATGCCTCAAGGATATGCAACATAGTCTGAAGTTGACCACAACTGCATTGTAGGTCATTTGAAAAATCACATTTAAAGAGAGTGGCAGCACAGTTGCCCGATCCTGTTTGAAACTGGTTCAGAGATGACCACGGGTGCCTTGGCAAATCAAAACCCAGTGGACAGATGGTTGGGTCAATGACAAGAGAGTGATTAAGAACAGTCGTTACTGACCACTCGTTGCACCAAGCAGATTCCACCGTCATGTCCTGTGGTGGTGTAAATTACCATAAAATGCGTCTAGAAGACAGGCCAGCTGAGTGGTTGAAGAGGTCTGCATACAAATACAGGCCGCTGTTCTCACGGTTTTTGGCAAACAGCATAACAGAGATCCTCCCACAGGGGCTGAGCGGGGACCCCCTTCCCCCTGGGCTGCCCCAGGCGCTGGGCAGGGGCCACAGCAGGTATGTGGTGCCTGGGGAGTGTGCTGTGCTCCAGCTACTCACCTGTGCAAGGTAGGGGTACTGGCTGGAGGGTGTGGGGTGCAGCAGGGCAGGAGCAGGAGTCGGGGTGGGGGGAGAGAGTACTCTCACTGCCCATCCCTGACGCGGCTGTTGCCACTGCCCATGTTGCTGATGTTGGAGGAAGTGGCAAGGGAGACTCTGGCATGGGTGACGCTGTCCAGACACTCAAAGTCCAGTTGTTTCTGACTGGACATTTTGGTCAAAAAGGACACCTGGCAACCCTACACCCACCCCTACCTCTCTCTCACACATGGGGACTGACCAACCAAACCCTCCCTGCCTGGCGCTCTTAGCCCTGCTGGGTCCCTGGGACAGGCCCGCATCCGCTACCTCGTGTTGCATCTTCCCAACCTGAGGTCACCGCCTGCTCCCACTGACCAGCTGCCGAATCGCGCAGCCACCAGGAAACAGGATGGGTAGTGGGGCCCTGCTGGCCGACAGCTGGCACACAGCATGGGCTGTGCTCACGGACCGGCAGTAGGAGACTCCTGGCACCGCATGCTGCATCTTCCTGCCATCAGCCTTGTGCACTCATCCCCATGGTCGACCCCCATCCCTCACCATTGGTGGGCGAGCGGCTGGCAAGCAGGGATCCAGCCAGCAGCAGGACCTGTTGGTACTGAAATCAGGGGGAGGCAGAAAATACGGGACAATTTGCCTGTATTTAGCAAAAAATCAGGCACCTGGCAGAGGGCTTAAATACGTTGACTGTCCTAGTAAAAACAGGATGTCTAGTCACCCTACCTATGTGGTGTAGTGTTAAAGTTGTACATGACAGAACTTGTATTTCTTAAAATAAACAACCCTCTGGTAGGAACTACTATACAAAATCATCCTGTGTTTTAAAGTATTTTATTAAAAATTAGACAAGCACGCACGTTTGAAAACACCAAAATTAAGATTTGTGTGGAACGTTAAGTTGTTTTGTGTGTGCTTTATGCTAGTGTCTTCAATTACATGATCATACTACTTTTTTTTTTTTCCCCCTAAGGGCCCCTGCCTTTCAGTGCTTAGGATGCAGACATGAAAAAAATTGTCAGCATTTTTGTGGTAAAGACTTTGAATATGTACATGAATTTACAGTAAAAACAATCACGTAAGCCAATACCACAAACAACATAATATTCATATATTCAAAAGCCAGAAGGGACCATTGTGATCATCTCGTCTGATCTTCTGTATAACACAAACCACAGAACTTCTCCAAAATATTTCCGGAGCATATCATTTAGAAAAACACCCGATCTTGATTTTAAAATGGTCAGTGGTAGATTTACCACCCCACATTGTACAACTCATCTCTTGGGCGGGGAAAATGTTGTGTAAACAAGCAAGCCTTGGAGAGTCTGTGGGGAAGACTAAAAAACTGTAGCTCTGTTGGAGCAAGTCGGAAGCATATTCCAGAACCACGGGCCCTTTACTGAAAAAGCCCTGCCCCCTAACAGACTAATCTAGTGACTGCCAGCTTGAGTGCCCCAACTGTCTGGGCAATGCACAAGTAATCTTTAAGACAGCACTCATATAATAAAAGGCTTTATAGAGCAAAACCAACAGGTTTTGAATTATGGCTAGAACCCAGTGCCATTGTTGAACATACATAAAATGGTTACCTTAAGGTGTACTAAATAAATAACATGCACTCACTAATGTTTGAGTCCTCTTCAAGTGTTGGTCAAGTACAGCCAAACTCTCCTGCAGATTGGATTTTTGCAGTGGCATGGATAAGAGGGGGCTGATGGAACATTCTTGGTGACTGGTGGAAAAGGACTTGCCTCTGCAATTCATGTTCTTTCTTGGCTCAACAGCTCAAATGGGATGACCTTTTTAGACTTGTTACAAGGACCACCTATTTCCCCAGGCATTTCCTTATAGCGGAGATGTGGGTTGACTGAGGAGATTGAGAGAAGGATAACTGAGACAGCCTTGGAAAGATGTAGGAAATTCTGATTCATCTATTTCACTTATGGACCTGATATGGGACCCTTATATAAAACCAATCTCAATAAAATATGTGCAATATGCTTAGCACCTGGGATAGATGCTATAAATAAAATGTAGTCAGATCCACATCTGAAACAAGGGTGCAGGGGAATTTTTTCTCCTAGGCTCCCCAGATTTCAACTGAGCCCTTGTCTATGCTACGAGTTTAGGTCGAATTTAGCAGCATTAGATCGATTTAACCCTGCACCCGTCCACATGACAAAGCCATTTTTGTTGACTTAAAGGGCTCTTAAAATCGATTTCTGTACTCCTCCCCAACGAGGGGATTAGTGCTGAAATCAACATCGCTGGGTCAAATTTGGGGTAGTGTGGATGCAATTCAACAGTATTGGTCTCCGGGAACTATCCCAGAGTGCTCCATTGTGACCGCTCTGGACAGCACTCTCAACTCAGATGCACTGGCCAGGTAGACCAGAAAAGCCCCACGAACTTTTGAATTTCATTTCCTGTTTGGCCAGCATGGCAAGCTGATCAGCACAGGTGACTGTGCAGAGCTCATCAGCAGAGGTGACCATGGAGTCCCAAAATCGCAAAAGAGCTCCAGCATAGACCGAATGGGAGGTACTAGATCTGATTGCTGAATGGGGAGACAAATGCGTGCTATCAGAACTCCGTTCCAAAAGACGAAATGCCAAAATATTTGAAAAAATCTCCAAGGGCATGAAGGACAGAGGCTATAACAGGGCCTCACAGCACTGCCGCGTGAAACTTAAGGAGCTCAGGCAAGCCTACCAAAGAGGCAAATGGCCGCTCCGGATCAGACTCGCAGACATGCCGCTTCTATGATGAGCTTCATGCAATTCTAGGGGGTGCCTCCACCACTACCCCACCCCTGTTTGTGGACTCCTGCAAGGGGCGAGTCTCACGCAACAGGGGTGACGATTTTGGGGATGAGGAAGACGAGGAGGAGGAGGAGGGTAGCACACAGCAGGCAAGCAGAGAAAGTGTTCTCCCCGACAGTCAGGAACTGTTTATCACCCTGGAGACAATATCCTCCCAACCCTCCCAAGGAGGGCTCCCCGACCTTGTAGGCAGAGAAGGCACATTTGGTGAGTGTGTCTTTTGTAAATATAATGCATGGTCTAAAACAGGGGCCTCAAACACACGGTCTGCGGGCCGCATGCGGTCCACGGGGCAATTTCCTGTGGCCCATGCCCACCCCACCCCCCTGGCCTACCTCCAGGCCAGGGGTGGGCAAACTACAGCTGCAGGATTGCCCCCCTCGAGCCCCACGCCGCTCCCTGAAGTGGTTGGCATCATGTCCCTGTGGCTGCTGGGGGAGGGGGGGAGGGAGAGAAGCAGAGGGCTCTGTCCATGTGTTGCCCTGGCTTCCAGGCACCACCCCCCCCTGCAGCTCCCATTGGCCGGGAATGGGGAACCGCGGCCAATGGGAGCTTTGAGGAAGGTACCTGGAGGCGTGGCAAGCAGCGTGCGGAGCCCTGCATCCCCCTCCCCCAGGGGCCGCAGGGACATGGTTCCAGCTACTTTGCGGAGCTGGGCTGGGGCTGGCAGCCTGCCCTGGCCCCGGTGTGTGCCGCTGCCACCCTGGAGCCTGAAGGCCTCCTGCACCCTGCCCCCCAACTCCCTGCCCTGGGTCCCCAGCTGCACCCCACACCCCAACCCATGCCCTGAGCCCCCTGCCTGCACCACAATCCCCTGCTGCACCTCAACTCCCTGAGCCCCCGCCACACCCCTCATGTACCCTCTGGAGGCAGGCAGGGGGCGGAGTTGGGGTGGGGACTTCAGGGAAGGGGTTTGAATGGGGTCAGGGAAGGGGTGGGAAGAGGCGGGGCCTCATGGAAGGGGTGGAGTGGGGGCAGGGCCGGGGGCAGCGAGGGGTGTGTGTCAGTGATGCGGTCCTCGGGCCAATGAACCAACCCTCATGTGGCCCTCGTGGTCATTTGAGTTTGAGACCCCTGGTCTAAAAGCAAGCCTGTTTAATGATCAATTTGCCCTGAAGACTTGGGATGCATTCGCAGCCAGTACAGCTACTCGAATGCATTCAAGCAACATCCGTTCTTTATCTCTCTGTGTTATCCTCAGGAGAGTGATATCATTCATGGTCACCTGGTTGAAATAGGGGCATTTTATTAAGGGGACATTCGGCGGCAAAATGCGACCTTGTACCGAAAGCACATGTGCTATATAATGTTAACAGCTTGGTTCCCCGGGAAAGAGTCTACCCATTGTTCTCTAAAAATGTCTTTTTAAATACTACTCTCCCTTTTTTTTCCTCCCGCAGCTGCAAATGTTTCAGGCTCCCCCTATCATCTCCGTTCCAGAGGCTAGCGCAGATAAGAAGGTGGAAAAAAACGTACTCACGATGAAATGTTGTCTGAGCTCATGCAGTCCTCCCACACTGAAAGAGCTCAGCAAAATGCGTGGAGGCAGACAATGTCAGAGTCCAGGAAAGCACAAAATGAACGCGAGGAGAGGTGGCGGGAGCAAGATGATAGGTGGCGGCAGCGTGATGAGAGGAGGCAGGATGCAATGCTGAGGCTACTGGAGGATCAAACTGATATGGTCCGGCGTATGGTTAAGCTGCAGGAAAGGCAGCAGGCGCACAGACCGCCGCTGCAGCCCCTGTGTAACCGACCGCCCTCCTCCCCAAGTTCCATATCCTCCTCACCCAGACGCCCAAGAACACAGAGGAGGAGGGGGCCTCCGGGCATCCAACCACTCCACCCCAGAGGACTGCCCAAGTAACAGAAGGCTCGCATTCAATAAGTTTTGAAGTGCAGTGTGGCCTTGTCCTTCCCTCCTCCCCTCCTCCCCCACCTCACCTGGTGTTTCCCTCCTCCCCCACCTGTCCCGGGCTACCTTGGCAGTTATTCCCCTATTTGTGTGACGAATTAATAAAGAATGCATGAATTGGAAACAACAATGACTTTATTGCCTTTGCAAGCGGTGATCGAAGGGGGGAGGTCTCAGTTGGCTTACAGGGAAGTAGAGTGAACCAAGGGGGAGGGTTTTCATCAAGGAGAAACAAACAGAACTTTCACACCATAGCCTGGCCAGTCATGAAACTGGTTTTCAAAGCTTCTCTGATGCGCAGCGTGCCCTGCTGTGCTCTTCTAACTGCCCTGGTGTCTGGCTGCACGTAATCAGCGGCCAGGCGGTTTGCCTCAACCTCCCACCCCGCCATAAATGTCTCCCTCTTACTCTCACAGATATTGTGGAGCACACAGCAAGCAGTAATAACAATGGGAATATTGGTTTCGCTGAGGTCTAAGCGAGTCAGTAAACTGCGCCAGCGTGCTTTTAAACATCCAAATGCACATTCTACCACCATTCTGCACTTGCTTAGCCTATAGTTGAACAGCTCCTGACTACTGTCCAGGGTGCCTGTGTATGGCTTCATAAGCCATGGCATTAAGGGGTAGGCTGGTCCCCAAGGATAACTATAGGCATTTCAACATCCCCAATGGTTATTTTCTGGTCTGGAAAGTAAGTTCCTTGCTGCAGCTGTTCAGACAGACTAGAGTTCCTGAAGATGTGAGCGTCATGTACCTTTCCCGGCCATCCCACGTTGATGTTGGTGAAATGTCCCTTGTGATCCACCAGTGCTTGCAGCACCATTGAAAAGTACCCCTTTCGGTTTATGTATTGGCTGCCAAGGTGGTCCGGTCCCAAGATAGGGATATGCATTCCATCTATCGCACCACCAGTTAGGGAATCCCATTGCAGCAAAGCCATCCACTATGACCTGCACATTTCCCAGAGTCACTACCCTTGACAGCAGCAGCTCAGTGATTGTGTTGGCTACTTGGAGCACAGCAGCCCCCACAGTAGATTTGCCCCCTCCAAATTGATTCCCGACTGACCGGTAGCTGTCTGGTGTTGCAAGCTTCCAGAGGGCTATCGCCACTCGCTTGTGAACTGTGAGGGCTGCTCTCATGTTGGTATTCTGGCACTTCAGGGCAGGGGAAAGCAAGTCACAAAGTTCCATGAAAGTGTCCTTACGCATGCGAAAGTTTCGCAGCCACTGGGAATCATCCCAGACCTGCAACACTATGCGGTCCCACCAGTCTGTGCTTGTTTCCCGGGCCCAGAATCAACGTTCCATGGCATGAGCATGCCCCATTGCCACCAGGATGTCCAAATTGCCGGGGCCTGTACTTTGAGAGAAGTCTGTGTCCATGTCCTCATCGCTCTCGTCACCGTGCTGCCATCGCCTCCTCACCTGCTTTTGCAGGTTCTGGTTCTGCACATACTGCAGGATAACGCGTCAGGTGTTTACAATGCTCATAACTGCCGCGGTGATCTGAGCGGGCTCCATGCTTGCTGTGGTATGGCGTCTGCAGGAGAGCAGAGTTGCAGCGGAAGCGGTGGATGACGGAATAGATATTTATAGAGAGATGCCACGAGAATAGATATTTATAGAGAACGACGACGGGACCTGCGAGGTGGATTCATGAGAGCCGGAAAGCAGAGTTGCAGCGGAAGCGGGAGCCCATGACAGCCAACATAGAGAAATTCGCTATCTATCGAGACAAGAGCAGGAGAGCAGAGTTGCAGCGGAAGTGGTGGTTAGTTGCCAGGTTTGCCAACCTATTGCACTGTCTGCTGCCAGCAGCACTAGGACACAACAGCGGCGGTGTCCCTTAGCTGAGTTGAGCGGACTGCACACTTGCCGTGGTATGGCGAGACAAGAGCAGGAGAGCAGAGTTGCAGCAGATGCCACGAGAATAGATATTTATTCAGAATGACGAGAGGACCTGCGAGGTGGATTCATGGCACCAGGAGAGCAGAGTGGCAGCGGAAGCGGTCGTTCGATGATGACGGTTAGCAGTCCTACTGCACAGTTTGCGGAAAGCAGTATGGCGTCCGCACGGAAACGATTGTCTGCCATTGCTTTCACGGAGGGAGGGGCAACTGACGACATGTACCCAAAACCACCTGTGACAATGTTTTTGCCCCATCAGGCATTGGGAGCTCAACCCAGAATTCCAATGGGCGGCGGAGACTGTGGGAACTGTGGGATAGCTACCCACAGTGCAACGCTCCGGAAGTAGACACTAGCCACCATACTGTGGATGCACTCCACCGACTTAATGCGCGCAGGGCTGGCTCTAGGCACCAGCAAAACAAGCTGGTGCTTGGGGCGGCACATTTTTAGGGGCGGCATGGCCGGCGCCAGAATGCCGCCCCTGCCGCCCCTAAAAATGTGCCCTGGCCGCCCTAGCTCACCTCCGCTGCTGCTCGCGCGCCATGGCGCGCGAAACAGCTGATTCGCGCACCACTACTCGCCCTCCCTCCCAGGCTTGAGAGCCTGGGAGGGAGGGGAGACTCCAAGCGGCTGCGGCGCGGGCGCCGCTTCTCCCCACCCCCCTCCTAGGCTTGAGAGCCTGGGGGGAGGAGGTAGGCCTGGGGATTTGGGGAAGGGGCGGAGTTGAGGCGGGGCCGGGGGTGGGGTAATTAAAAAATGGGGGGGGCGGCCAAAATTGTTTTTGCTTGGGGCGGCAAAAATCTTAGAGCCGGCCCTGAATGCGCTTAGTGAAGACACACACAATCGACTGTATAAAAAAATCAACTTCTATAAATTTGACCTAATTTCGTAGTGTAGCCATACCCTTACAGTAACAGCAGATGGGAATGCCTCTTCAGCCAAGGAAGTAATGCTCCTTTGCTATTCCTTCAGCTTTCCTTCCCCTCCAGACAACCAGTAATACCTGTCTCCTACCCATGTTGCACTTAAGTAGATCTCATTCAAACCCCAGTCAAGTCTAGACAATAGGAAAAGCAGTTAGCCACATCATCCAGCTCTAGTAAATAGACAAAAAGCGGCCATTGTCTAAATCTGTATTGTGAGAGTGCCTCTCTGCATTTTAATGGGACAGTGGAACAGTGACTCGGTAGGTCACTTTTTAATTGTCATATTCCAGTGCAAACAGATTTTTTTGGCATGTACTTAGACAAATTTATGTTTTAGGAAACAGGTATCAATTGTACAACACAAAACCAAGTGGGTTAAGTTCTTATTGCCATAGGCCTCAAACAACTGAATTTGGACCATCAATCCTTTTTATTTATAGTGCAATATTATTTAATTCTGGTTTGCAGAAGCAAGCACTGAATTAATTATGTAGCTCAGTTTGTGTTTCTACCCAGCTGGAGGTGAGGCTTCCGTAGTCTGATCTGGCCTACTATGTTTCCTCCTTTGTGTATTGTCTTCAGTATTTTTAGTTCTTACCACCACAATTTCTGTAACTGTTATCAGTCAGGATCCTACAGTTCCACAGTTATCTGCCGTGACCATTTGTTGTTTTTTCTCCATTTTCCTATCCATTTCTCTTTGGGGTTCACATTGTGCATCTGTCTATTTTGGTGTAAAGCTTTATTGTACTGTATATTCATCAAAAAACGAATAAGATTTTTTTCTAAGAATTTGGTGACTACCTGTTAAATCACCTGGTAAGTATCATACCTTGAAGATTGTACCCAATGTGACATTACTACAGTAAATGGCTAAGTAATAGCATGGTGAAATCAGAAATCCAGGGGAGGGCAAACCCCTGGTCTCCACTCCAACAGATGCAGGTGGCTTTGTAGATGGGCACCCCTGAAACAACTGCCAGTTGCTCGTAGTCATCAGCTACTCTGTGACTCGTGTCACAGCAGTTAATGCTGCATAAACCATTTAGGTCTCAGGCCTCCTGTGGATTGGTCAGCAGTCGTTTGTTGTTTTGTCTGTGTGGAAATATGTTTTCTGTGTCTCCTTTCTTGGTTGTGCCACTTCCATGGAGGGAAAAGATATCCTCACTGTACAGTGGGAGTACTTTTCTACTGAGCAACTTTCACCTTCACAATAGAGAAGGGAGAACTGGCCAGACATAGGAGCAAATGCTTACTTTTATGACTAGTGCTATGGATTCTTTGTCAACACAGAGCAGTCGGGGCCTTAGGGTTTATCTCCTCTCTTCGCATGACACATTGCAAGGAATTTAATTTGTCTACCTCAGATGGCTGAAAGGTTGTGTTGCTCTTGTGTGATTGAAACTGTGATTCCTAGAAGTGCTAGCAGCCTTATTTTCAGAGGTTCTGCGCATTCCCAATTCCCATTGAATATAATAATTCAGTGCCTCTGAGAAGCATGCCATAGGTCTGAAGTTTCAGACCACTGAGCTATCTTATATGCTCTCTCTCTCTTTCTAAAGGGCAATATCATTCTCTATGTTGTGTGATGTTTGAAACATTTCTCACCCGGCGGGGAGGGGGGACTTTTTGTTTCACTAATGTGCCTTTCCAGTCACCAGGCAGTTTCAGTTTACAGTGAATTGAAACTTAAATGCTACATGGTGGGTAACTGCCAAATTCAATTTAGAAAAAAAAATTAGAGAAATAAAATAAGCATAACTATGGTTTCCAAAAGGAAACTTGTTTATACAATAGTTAAAACTGTTGCATTGGTGGCTATGCACTAAAGGGGATATTTTCAAAGGGTGCATCTTTGAAAGTCTTTGAGCGTTGGGTGCTTAGCTAACATTTATGCCTTTGAAAATCTCCCCTAAATCAATAGATGGCACAAAGCTTTTTTTAAACAAGCATGTAACAATTCAGAGGTGGTTAACACTGTGACACTGACAGTCCAGATGCCAGCTGTTGCCAAAGCTTTAGGACTTGGCTGAGCACTGACAAATTCATTGCTGGAAATTAGTCTCATTCCCCTGTGTGATAATATGGTTAAAATGGGTATTGGACTTATAATAATGTGTTTAGACTTTATGAAATGCTTGTAAGATGCTGCATGCATTAATCTCACTTATAATATCTTTATCACATGCTATAAGATAATATTTAAGGGGTTTTTTTTTGTTTTGTAACTAAAAATGTTTGCTCTGAAACTGTGAACCCAGTCCGGAGGATTATCTCCTGCCCACCAAGAAGGCTTGTCAAAACTAAATGGGCCATTGTGAGACATCACAACACAGACTGTTAATTGCCCCCTTACACCCATGAAGAGGCTATGGGCAAAAGGGCTCATCCCTTGAATTCTGGAAGAAGGAACTAAAAATAGCTGGTGAAAAATTGTCACTTCTTTTGCTGTTTGGATTCTCACAGGACCAGAGCTACAAAACAGAAGCAGAGTTCTCCAGGGTCAACCTGGGTTAGTCTTAAAAGATATTCAGAGCAGACAGATTACTACAACTGTCACCTTTTGAAACCATAAACTGTAACTCATTTGTGTCTATAGGCTTGCCTGCTTTAGCCTTGTAATAACACTCTCATTTCTTTCCTTAGTTAATAAATCTTAGATAGTTTACTATAGGATTGACTACAAGTGTTCTCTTTGGTGTGAGATATAAGGTACAAATTGACCTAGGGTAAATGACTGGTCCTTTGGGACTGGGAGTAACCTGAATGTTTTGTGATCTTTGGCATATAGCGACCATCTATCACTAAGTCCAGCTTGCCTGGGTGGCAAGACAGAGTGGAATGCCCAAGTGACTCAATGTTAAGGCTGTTATAGTGCTTTAGGAGTTCACACTTATTACTGGATTGGTGAAATCTAATTATAGAACTGTGAAATCCAGACCTGTGGGGGGCTGTCACCCTTAACCCTCAACTTGGGGTGCCTTGCACCACCTTACTGTTGTAGCTCCAAGCCTGCACCACTCACAAACAGTTTACCAGCATGCAGGTCACTACCAGATGTGTAAAAAGCAACAGAGGGTCCTGTGGCACCTTTAAGCTAACAGAAATATTGGAGCATAAGCTTTCGTGGGTGAATGCCCACTTCATCAGACGCAAGTAATGGAAATTTCCAGAGGCACGTATAAATCAGTATGGAGATAACGAGGTTAGTTCAATCAGGGAGGGTGAGGTGCTCTGCTAGCAGTTGAGGTGTGAACACCAAGGGAGGAGAAACTGCTTCTGTAGTTGGATAGCCATTCACAGTTTTTGTTTAATCCTGATCTGATGGTGTCAAATTTGCAAATAAACTGGAGCTCAGCAGTTTCTCTTTGGAGTCTGGTCCTGAAGTTTTTTTTGCTGTAAGATGGCTACCTTGACATCTGCTATTGTGTGGCCAGGGAGGTTGAAGTGTTCTCCTACAGGTTTTTGTATATTGCCATTCCTGATATCTGACTTGTGTCCATTTATCCTCTTGCGTAGTGACTGTCCAGTTTGGCCAATGTACATAGCAGAGGGGCATTGCTGGCACATGATGGCATATATAACGTTGGTGGATGTGCAGGTGAATGAGCCGGTGATGTTGTAGCTGATCTGGTTAGGTCCTGTAATGGTGTTCTGGTGTAGATATGTGGGCAGAGTTGGCATCGAGGTTTGTTGCATGGGTTGGTTCCTGAGTTAGAGCTGTTATGGTACAGTGCGTGGTTGCTGGTGAGAATATGCTTAAGGTTGGCGGGTTGTCTGTGGGCGAGGACTGGCCTGCCTCCCAAGGTCTGTGAAAGTGAGGGATCATTGTCCAGGATGGGTTGTAGATCACTGATGATGCATTGGAGAGGTTTAAGCTGAGGACTGTAGGTGATGGCCAGTGGAGTTCTGTTGGTTTCTTTTTTGGGCCTGTAGCAGGAGGCTTCTGGGTACATGTCTGGCTCTGTTGATTTGTTTCTTTATTTCCTTGTGTGGGTATCGTAGTTTTGAGAATGCTTGGTGAAGATCTTGTAGGTGTTGGTCTCTGTCTGAGGGGTTGGAGCAGATGCGGCTGTACCTCAGCGCTTGGCTGTAGACGATGGATCGTGTGGTGTGTCCGGGGTGGAAGCTGGAGGCATAAACACACACCAGATGTGTGTGTTTAACTGCAGCCTGCTAGTCACACCCT